ATGAAACCCTAGAACTGCTTGTTTGTGCTTTAAGCCTTTGAAATCTTAGTGACTACGAAGCTGCAGAATCTGCCTGATTCAATGCAGCTTTGATTTGTAAATGCGACTCAGGTTAATACAAACTCCTTCTTTCACAGAGGCAGGTCATGTTGTCAAATTTTTGCAAGAACTTCATTTTATCTTTCAGCTGTTTTGAACCCGATCGTCTAAGAGGATGTTTTGAATTTAATTTCAAAATCTCTTTTTTTTTTAGTCGTCACAAGGTGTATCTTCACTAAGCTAGTGTGATGTTTTTCATTTCCTTTCAGGAACCTTTACATCATCGTTCCTCTCGGGACAAAAATTATGATTGAACATATTTTCGGATAAAATTCTTGAGAAATTAAGCGCTGAGCCGACTATGTGTAGGCTGATTCTTTGACAATTTCCTGTAATTTTCTAGCGGGACGAGAATAAGAACACAAATTTTAAAATTACTTTTAAAGTTTGAAGTGTACAGTAAATGAATCAATTCCAAAGTTCCTCTTTCATTGTGTGATTTATTTACCCTGAAAATAACGCTATAAAATCGCATTTTGATATTTTTTTCTAAAAACCTTCCCTTTAAGATGTAACAAGTAAAACAAACTTTATTTGCTATCTGTGATTTATTCAAGACATTCACGAATATGTGGACACGGGAATATCGCAAAAATTTTATCGGTCTATTGGATGATTCTTCGAGAACCTCTCTGTCAAATTGAACGAACTTATTTTCTGTTATTCCACAAGAGCCCTTTTTGCACGAGTAAGGCTTCGCTGACTGATATGGCGAAGAAAAATCGAACCTGTAAGACTTGAACTCCATCGCGGTTTATCTCACTTGTGAATGGACGATAAATAAGCAGACTCGGAGGCTGGTCTAGGAGGGAACATGGACAAACAAATCCAGCTCGATTTAATTCTAGTTTCACAGAGTTCTTTTTTTAACTGGTTCGGGTACTTCAATTTTACAATTTGGACTGTAAATACTTGATTATGAATATTTCTATAATCAAGAATTTACAGGCCAAATTGTCTGAAGGAAAGAAGCAAATAGCGACTTAAGACATAACCACCACTATTTTGTCCTTTTAAAGAGAAATAAAATACGGCCTGTCCTATTAAATAGTATTCGCACCTTTTGACCTTTTCATTACCAACGTATTCTGGGTATAATCGAGTTTAACAATTAAATTACAAGAAAACTGAGATAATTTTAAACATATCGGTGAAGCAAAGAGAAATGAACCGATAAGCAATGCGCGCGCGTTCATTGCAGGTTATCACGCGCGTTCGTTGCGGCTTGTGCTTTGCCAAAAACTAAACGAAAATTTCAGCGGAAGATGGTAGAAACAATGTTCTATAATATTAAGCGGTAAAAAGCTAGATATCACTTGTTCGTATCCACGAAATGATCGCGTGACTCGCGAGTAATTGTCGCGACACACGCAACATATTTGACCAACGGGGGTGCATTTTAGAGCAATTCGATATCACTCCTTTCGGCTTCCGGGCCTCACCGCCCACCAAATGCGCGACGGGCAACCTTTTTGTATTTGTCGTCGCGGCGAGATTTTATCACAAATCCATCTATCACGGCCCGTGTTTAAAGACCTTTTAGCCGCAAATTGCTTCGAATTAAACACAATAACGCTGAGAGCTCGACAGGCATATTCAAAATCTTTCTCTCACTCTGGGAGATATTGCGTTTTGTTTACAACGAACCTTGAGAATAAATTATCGCCCCGGGAGGCTAGCTGTCAACTGCTGAGCATTCAGTCAACACAAAGTTATTAATTTGGCGGGAGGTAGGCTGGCCGAGCCAATGGTTTCAAAGCATTGCGGCTTCTCGGAAGTGCTGTTGCGATCTTCTTACACATGTAAAAAAAACAAACTGTTCTTTAGCTCATCGGCGCGTTGCTAGATGTATATCAAATGCGACAGGTATAAATTTTTCTGCTTGACAGCAGTGAGAGACCGAATATTAAAAATTTTCCCATTTCCTGTCTTGGTTTGACGACCACCTGGGAACAAGCGCGCAGAAATGTATATCACCAGAGTTTCACTTGCAGGTTGTTCACCGGTCCTTTCTAACCGGTTTAAGAAGGAGTCGGATTTTTTCTGCTCTCTTCCCATTCTGAGTGCCTCTATTGTGTGATCGTGGCAGAACTAACGCACGGTGTATTTTGGATGAACAAAGCTCAAAGGCAAAAGTATCTTCTCTCCATTATAGCAACGAGCAAGTTAGATCCCCTCAGTTATCGAGTTCTATGAGATAAAACATGAACGTCTCCTCTGCCACGCAGTTTTCACATTTTTGTGCGTTCTTTGTTTGATTTAAACTCCTCATCCGACAGATTGATATTAAAGTATCTTTGTTTTGTTTTAAAACAAAAGAAATTCATCGATAAAAGGAACTTTAAAAATGCCGTCCTCGATAGCCGCACTTTTAAATATTTCATAACTGGTGCGTTTTTCAAGCTCAATTATTGTTCTCAGCTAAACCAGAAACGTGATATGTGAGGAGTGCGCGAAGCATGACGGCTTGCCCCTCGCTGTGACACAGTGTTAGCGACGGCGTTATCGCACGATTGGCAAAGAATTTGACTTAATAGTGACTTTATCTATTTTGCAGACTCAATGTTCCATATCCTTTCCATGCTTAGTTTTACAAATTGTTTACAGTGAACTTTAAAACCGATATTGTTACGCTAAACTTGAAGTTCAGCTTACATATAGGAAACGGAAATTAAAAAAAAAGAATGAAAACAAAACACTTTCCGGCCGGTTAACAGTTTTGGCATTTTATAAGACAAGGATGTCGAAAATAAAACTGTCGTCTTTGCGAACTTTTTAATGTTTTCGACGTTGACAGATTTTTAAATTTTTTTTTTTTTTACATTCACCTGACTGCCTCGAATTATTATGGAAACGTGAGGGGATTGTAGCTTACACTTTTTTAACCTTTTAATGTGTAAATGAAATCAAGGCCTGACGTAAATTCAATTCTGCTTAGTACACGAGCCAAAATCCAGCTTTTCAACTCTCTGATTAACAAGTACAGTCGAACCCGTATTAAGCAGCACCGCATTAAGCGGTCGCCTTGTATTAAGCAGTTAGTTATCAAAGTCCCAAATTTGATTTCTATAATCACTGACATTTTCACCTTTATAAAGCGGTCGCAGTTACCCTTCACGAAGTCCCAACGGGCTTCATATTTGTTTTCCACCTGTCTAGAACGGTCATTGACAACAGAACCACTCAAATATTACTAAAAATAATCTTTCAAGTAATTTTGAATCCATGTTTCTCTCCCAAAATCTGAGTAAGTAGTTCTATGAGCGATGTACATTAAGTGGTCAATTATGGTATAAGGTGGCGTTGTAAATATTTTTTTTAATAATACCCCTAATCTGTGAAAACTTTAACAAACGGTCAACCTGTTTTAAACGTTCACTGCGCCATTTCCCGTAGTGAGCGCTTAATAAAGTTTCGATTGTAATTTCTCCACGCAATCTTCATCCAGCTATAGGGCTTTATCTTGATATAATATCAAGTTTTTTTTACCAAATTTTTAAGGGTCAATAGAGTTAAATGTTCTATTTTCGAATTCTTTATTCCCTCTTGTTCATAAACCTTTAACTTCCAGGATATCCCAGGGATGACTGGTATGTCATTTCTCTTTAAAATATCAAAACAGTGTCAAGCAAACAGGTGACGAGGAGAATGGTAAGAAATATCAAGTAGGGAACATTGTTTCAAGTCGTTTTTTTTTATTATTATTATTTTTTTTATTAGATTCATGCAAATTAGTAAATATATATGACTAGCTGACACAATAGCCTGACCAAGACAATCAATAAACTGAATTATACATGCATTTGATTGGTTCTAGTGACGATCTACTGGAGGCCAGACGTCACTGTGTGCAACACTTTGCTTCTCAGTGCCGCACAGTAGCCTGAGACCTATTTGTTAAATATAATGAATGAGCAGAAGTCCTCAATGGTGACGCCATCTAGGTGTCTGTACTCCAATGGATCATAGTTGAGAACCAATCATACTGCTTGTACAATGGGGTAATTTAGTATTATCAAAGAGTTGATAGCGGAAATTGACAACCGTAAGGAGTTTAAAGGCTGATATTTCGGGCGTTAGCCCTTCGTCAGAGCGATTGACGAAGGGCTAACAACGTTTACTATCGCGTTTCATTTTAGTTACTGAACGTCCAAGATTAGAAGGAATGTGATTTACTCGACGCAAGTGGCGAAAACAATAAATTAAACATGTTGAAATTTCAATCAGAGATTTAATGTTCCTCAGTGTTTTGAATCAGAGAACTCAAACTTCCTCCGTTCCTGTCATTAATTTTCATGAATAGAAAAAATAACAAACCTTTAACCCGCATGGGGATCCAGTAAACAAACGGTTTTTGTAAAGGAAAACAGATTCAGTTGCGGAAATACGCTGTTGGAATCAAGAATGTGTAGTCAGAGACAACAATTTGAACTGTGGGCAGTGGCTAAAATAGTCCGGCTAGGAGGTTTAAAAACGTTCTTTGAATCCGTTTGTTAATTTTTATGGACTAAGCTTTCATTATATACAATTAGTGATGAAACAAACCGTTTAAAGGAAGACAAACAAGAACATACAAACACACTAAAACCACGAGGCACAGTATTGGAGGAGGGGGGAGGGGGGAGGAAGGTGGGGCACTTTGAAATCTCACAGAAACTCAAGGTTTACTAAATCACTGTGAACTTTAAGGTTTTAAAAGAAATTTATCAAATTTTAAAGTTCACCTTTAGCAATCTGTATTTGTATATTACTTTAAGGTCTTCATCAATGTTAATCAACATTTGAAAACTGTACTTCATGTGTAAGCAAGCATGATATACAAATCCTGCGCACAGGCAAAAGACTTTAATTGGTCAGCGGTTCTGCCTGAGAAAGGTAAAACTACGGTATCTATACAAGGTATAAACTGAAATTGGGAAATCTTTTAAAGGCAGAAGTTATTCGTCATGGAAATTGCTCATTTCAAGCACAAATTAGATGCGGAAAGTATCGAAGAAAGCATCAAGCCCATTCTAAGGCAGTTGAGACCAGATTGGAACATCAACGAAGTCAAATTCAAACAGTTCAATGATGGAATCAGTAACATGCTCGTGGGCTGCAATATGCCGAGTCTTGCTCCCGGCGAGATGATCCTTTTCCGATTGTTCGGGAATAAAACCGAGCTTTTTATAGATCGGGAAAAAGAGCTGGAAACCTTTCAGATTTTGCACTCTAAGGGCTACGGACCCCCTGTCTACGGGACTTTGGAGAATGGTCTGTCGTACGGATTTTTGGAGGGGGATGTTCTCGACACCGATATGATAGCGGACCCGCATATATCTTCACTATGTGCTCGTCACGCGGCTCAGTTACACGCAATCAAAATTGATCACGAGAATTCCAAACATAGAGCAGAACCAATGCTTTTCAATGGAATGATGAAATACTTGAATCTTCTTCCCGAAAAGTTTGAAGACCCGGAGAAAAATGAAAGGTAGGGGGAAGGGAGGGAAGAGGGTCCTGTGTGGGGGTAGTACAGGAGAAAGTTTTCTCCCTGTCTCTCTCTCTCTGTCTGTCTCTCTCTCTCCACCTCCTGATAACCGTGAAAATCAAATCATCTCGTATTTTAAGTGAATTCTTGCAAGCTATAGAAATATTCAGTTCCAAAGTGAAAGATTATTAAACAGGGTAATTAGATGATATTTGATTGTTCCCCAATGATTTAACAATCAGTTTTGGAAAAAACCATTCCTCCTCTTGTGCTGATCAGGGTTCCAAAAAAACATTGTTCCTCCTTCTGTGCTGATCAGGGTTCCAAACAAAATATTGTTCCTCTTGCTGTGGTGATCAGGGTTCTAAAAAAGCATCATTCCTTCTTGTGTCTACCATAGTTCCAAAAACACATCGTTCCTCCTCTTGTGCTGATCAAGGTTTCAAAACACCTGATGTCCAAATGCCTCACTTTAGTCTTCATTGGACAATCTAATGTTCAAACCCAGTCGAAATTCATTATCAACATAAGGAGATAAAATTTGCATCCACACATGGTCATGCAATATCTCTTTTATTTCCTTTGTTATTCATATTTCAATATGTTTCTCTGTAAAGGTTTGAACAGCAAGCTCCCAGCAAAGCTAAGTTAAAGGAGGAGATTGAAAGCCTCAAGAGTGTTTTACTAAAACACAAATGTCCTGTGGTGTTCTGTCATAATGACATGCTCTGTAAAAATTTACTTTACAATAAAGATAAAGGTGGGTCAGTATTAAACTTTTGGATTTTTTACGGTTTATAAATTAACACTGTCTTGATTGTACTTATTTTCATGAAGGCTTTTTGTCAGAAGGAAAAGTGCAAATTAGATATGCTTGGTAACCATGCATGCTTAAAATGGTTAGAAAGAACACAATTTTCAAGGAACATAAGAATATTCAAGGTTACATACCTGTAGCTTCATCTAAACTAGAGGGGGGCTGAGAGCATTTTTGGACAGTTATGTAAACTCAAGATACAGCAGAGGGTTTGTATAATTTTGGAGAATTCTCCCAACTCCCTAAGTGTTAAGACGAGGCTATGACAAAAGATCTCTTTTACTTTTACAAAGTATTGCAAAAAAATAAGTGTA